AGAAAGAAAAGGAACAACAAATTTGCAGCTAGCAATTGTAAAAAGATAGAAGAGGGCCGAGGATACAGCTCAGTGGTGTAAGTGCTTGCCTGTCTGGCAAGCACAAGGTCCTGAGTCGATTCCCGGTACCAAAAAAAAAATTTAAAAATGGAAGAATTATTTTATTTCATTCCACTGTGGATGTTCTCACTGTGTCTTAATTCTCTTTGTAGTTGAAACCTGAGGAGAAGATGTTCTTCAAAAGCCCTGTGGAGACAGCTTTGCAGTATTTTAGTCATATTTCTCAGGTATATTAAACAAAAGTTAAGAAAATATGATTTTCCATGCAAATTCTAATTGTATTTTATTCCTTTATGAAAGGTTCTCCTTAGGTTGTTTTTGTACACGATTGAGAAGAACTACTCTTATTTCCTGTCTTCCTTGATGATGCTAGTCTCAACCAGTTACTGTGCAGTTAAATTTTGTCTTCTACTTCTTTGTTCCACTCATTCCTATGACTAAAGGATGTCCTAGGTAGCCTTATCATCTTTCTCAGCACCCTCTAAATATTGCCTGCAAATGGAGGACTCTGCAAACACTGGATGTGGTATTTTAACTCTTAACCTTTTGTGTACAGATATGTTTATTAAAGTGTGTCTTGTTCTTTTTTTTTTTTTTTTTAAGGCAGGATCTTACTATATAGTGCAGGCTGGCCTCAATCTCACTTATATAGCCCAGGGTGGCATCAAATGCATGGCAGTCTTCCTGCCTCAGCCTCCCGAGTGCTGGGATTGCAGGTGTGTGCAACCACGTCCAGCATTTATTTATTTATTTATTTCTTCCTTCCTTCCTTCATCTTTTTGAGACAGGGTCTCGCTATGTAGTTTAGGGTCTTGCTATACTATCCTTGAGCTCACTTTGTAGCCCAGGCTGGCCTTGAACTCTCACTGATCCTCCTGCCTCAGCCTCCCAAATACTGGGATTGTAGGCATGCACCACCATGCCTAGCTTCATTTTTTCTTTTCAAGTTTTACTTTCTAGTAATGTTTAACTCCTAGAATTCACAACAGGTTGCCTGAATTTTAGACAATATTTGTATTTTCCTGATGCCTCATATATTGGCAAACCATTGACTTGGTCAGGAGCAGTAGGAATGTAGAAGAAGGTAGAGAAAAGGCAGGACAATCACGTGAGAGAGTTTCCACCTTATAAACACTTGGTTCTGTTTTCTTTTTTCTTTCCATTCTGTAGTTCTCTGCTGAGATTATTTTATAGCCTTATAAGATTCCTTTCTTGGCACATGTCTTGAGATTTTATTACTTCTCTTTTCTTTATTTTTTTATTCATTTTGTTTTCAGTGCTGTGGTCAAACCCAGGGCTTTGAACATGCTAGATAAGCCCTCTACCACTGAGCTACATCCCAGTAGCTCTTATTTTTATGAGAGTATACCTTTTCCAAGCAGAAAGGTGATACTTAATCATTTTCTGATTGAGGATGGTAGATTTATTTATTTATCTACTTATTTAGGTGTTTTCTCCTTAGCCCTCACGCTGGAGTTAGAGTAAGGGGAATTAAAGCTTAGGCTGCATCCTGTCTTTAGCTGCTTAAGTGAGCCATCATATCTGAGATAATATGTTTAACATTTTGAGGAGATAAAATCCAGCTGAGATTCAAGGAGAAATATTTAAAAAGATCACATGAACAAGAGAAAGAGCAGGTCTTTGGTTAATAACTAAACACAGGGTTAGTTAATGATCAGTAGAGAAATTATATGTAGTCTGAATCTTAACCTGCCTAATCACGGGACCAATTACACATGGTCAAATAGTCAAGATAAAATAAATAGAAATGTTTAGTTAATCATCACTTTAGAGAAGGGCCAGTTTGGTGAAGTCAGCAAAGTCTGAAAATGTGTTTTTCTAGTCTGTGAAGCTGAATAAATGTTCTGCCCAATGCCTAGGTTGCTTCATTCAGCTCGAAATTTTCTCAGTCAAACGTTTACTAACTGATATCTCAGATGTAGCCCCAACATTCTTTACTCCTCCTTTACTTTACTGCTTATCATAGCTCTTAGCCCTTCATATATATTACGTATGTGTTTATTGTCTGAATCCTATACTGGAGTACAGTTTTGTTTATTGGTCTCTTTGAATACTTCCTGACATATACTGGATACTTAAGACATTGTCATTAAATGAAGCAGTGGACTGGCACTCTAAATGTCCATTTATGTTTCACACATCCCCAGTCTTTGTAACAACCTGACAAGGGCATTTTTCTAATTGTCTACCTGTAGTTGATCACTCTGCCCATTTTGAATTATTTCCTTATGTTACTGGAAATTGAACCTAGGGCCTTCTTATTAAACTATGTTACCCGCCCTTTTAAATTTTATTTATTTATTTATTTATTCTTTTTGAGACAGGTTCTCACTATGCAGATCAGGCTGGCCTTGAACCCACTTTGTAGCCCAGGCTGGCTTCAAACTCACAGCAATCCTGCTGCTTCATCCTCCCAAGTGCTGGGATTATAGGCGTGCGCCACCATGCCCAGCTTAAATTTTTTATTTTGAGACAGGTGGTTTAGCTAAGTGGCAGAATGGGTACTTAGGATGTCCAAGGCCCTGGCTTCAATCCCCAGCAAGGAAAGAAGGAAGGAAGGAAGGAAAGATGGGAGGGAGGCAGGCAGGCAGGCAGGCGAGCAGGCAGCAAGCCAGCCTTGGGAGTAAATTAGATCACCTGGGTTCTAGACACAGTCCTTTTAGATGTAGCCATTAAGTGGAGAAGAAGATGACAAGGACCTGCAATCAGAGGTAAAAATAGTGTGGTGTCCTAGACATTCAATGTTTATGGTTTATACGTAGATGTCTATTTGTGTTTCAAAACATAAAAGCCTCAT